GTCAGTCTTAGATGAGTCGCCAGGCTAAAAATAGCCTCCTTAGAGCCTCCCAGGTCTCTGAGTACCAATCACCACTCATTCCTGTACCACCCTGAGCAGGAGTGAATCACCCTCTGTCCAATACCTCTCGCCACACACTTACCACCACCACCCTCACTGTCGCCAACACAGAAGATGATAAATCGCCATGAAGTTCAACTCCAGTGTCTCGCCAGATGATGGTAGCTGCTCCAACTCATCAATTACTCCACTGACTGGATCCAATCGCTCCATACCGACTGTTATGAACCTGGTTGCTTGTTGTCAAAAGACCAACACTCGCTCACATAGACTTCCAGGTATGCCCATACATACACAAAAGGAAGGGGAGAGGATGGGAGTATCACACCGCACAGGGAGATAGAAACACAGCGGAAGACTTGACCATGCGATATGACAGAGTACACAGAAAGTGCAATTCACTCCAAAAAATCCTCACAACCAGTCACAAAGGAAAGTGGAGTAGACCACATCCAGGAAACAATGAAGCAAAGATAGTTCATCCACAGTATCAATATTGTTCATTACACTCAGAGTCTCGATTTGTCATAGTAACCCCATAACTGTGATGTGCTGCTCAGAAATGAGCATCGCTTCTTTCCCCAACCCTGAGTACCCGCTATCACTACCCTTGGGCCCCTGAAACAACCAGCGCCACCCAGATACTGCCTCCAGAGGGAAGCGCCAACCTGAAACAGGCCTCTGAGGCCAAGCGCCTCTCAGAGGATGAAAAAGAAGACCAGCACCACAGTCTCGGATGATGATGAAGTGCCAGAAGACTTCCCAGATGGAAATCTGCAGCAGTGCCACCTCTCCTGACAAAGATGACCTTTGAGGATGAAAGCTGCAGCTATGGCTGCGGCACCACACACCCTGACACCCTACTCCTGAGGAGGGTTCAGCAGGGCACTAACTTCTCTTGCCTCCAGCAAACTTCAAATAGCCCGGACCTTTGAACAGCCCCGCGTGCTGTCAGAGAACAACGTAGGTTCCAGCTACGCTTGGAAGCTCCGGCTATGTCTGTCTCCTCCAACATTGAAGTTGTACCACCACCAGTTCATGCATTGCGCAGCCACGATGTACACGGTACCAACTGCCAAAAAGCCTCGAACAGTTTTTCCTACACCTATTCATAGTCTACCCTAGCCTAGACACGACCTAGACCGAACTGACTGGACTGACCGGTACCGTTTTTGTTCGGTCCTTAGGGCCTCTGGCCCGTAGGCCCTTCTGTCCTAGTAGTAGCCTGGGTCTGCTATTCGCAGTTAGGGAAGCTGTAGGAAATTCGAGTTAATGCCTGAAATTCTACGAATTTATATGTCCCCCCTCGCAAATTTTCCTCACAGTCAGACCTCTCGGTTAGCCCTCAGCCAAACAAAATTACAAAACTAACCTACGTCTGTTATAGCCTCGGGTCGATGTGTCGCAGGCTGCAAAACCAGCAAGTCAATGCACTCTCTCTCTCTCTCTCTCTCTCTCTCTCTCTCTCTCTCTCTCTCTCTCTCTCTCTCTCTCTCTCTCTCACACACACACACACACACACACACACACACACACATTTGCACAATGGAGATCCCCACTTCCCCACCTCCCTAACCTCATTCTCTGTTATGAACCTGGTTNTCTCTCTCTCTCTCTCTCTCTCTCTCTCTCTCTCTCTCTCTCTCTCTCTCTCTCTCTCTCTCTCTCTCTCTCTCTCTTCCCGCTTTGTGTGTGTGTGGGCGGGTGCATACGGCCAATATGGAAAGAAAACGACGGTGAGCAACACGGCCAAGAAGACGATCATTAACACTGTTGCCTTCAGAAATCGACGACGTAGTTCAACGTAGGCTGGGCTCGGGCCACAAATGGACTAACACGCACTCAGCCAGGTCCATGACAGCTGTGCGAGGTACTCTGACGGCGGCATCTACCAATGAGCAGGAACTGGAGCCATCTTGCCATCTCTCACATTCATTCATTCATACATTCACCCATTTGATTGTTCATTCATTCACTCATACATTCACGAGTTGACTATGGACTTCGAATGCACCTGGTCCAGAAAGGCGTACAAATGCATGTAGAATGTTGGGTAGAGAAGTGAGACCCATTGTCACATCAAACAGAAAAGGAAAAAAGACCCCCGATAACATACTGTTCCGTCGGAATCTTATCGTTCCCCCATCAGACATCACCGAGAGTTTCAGTTGCCAAAAAGGGCAAAAAAACAGCCACACTTCTTCCTTTGCAGCCGGATTGTCAATCGTACATGTCCCCTGGTCATTCTCCTCTTCATTCTCCCTCAGGAAAAACTTTGCTCGATTTTCTTTCCTCCCCAAGGAAGAGCATAAAACACCATCCATCATCATTATGCATCATGATCGTCGTCACCGTTCCTTGCAGGCCACCAGCAAATACATTTTTGACTCTTTTAAACCACCAGTACTTCTAACCTACTATGCTGAACTATTCTGCCTTGACCCACTTGACATTTCCCCTGGCGGGGGTTGTTTTTCAAAGCTACCCCACCCACCCAAAACAGTCACAAAGACAAAGAAAAATGGTGAATTAATCCGAGTGAGTTGCTAAGAAACTGCGAGTAAACTTTTGACGAAAGTTAGCTAGTTGACTATCGATTTGTTCAGTGATTGTTTTTTTTGGTTGTGCAATAGCAGAAAGCAAACTTGGGTCAAGTGATTTCAACAACTCTTGTTCATATTTAAGAATTCGAGAAATCTTAAGTTGATCGAAATATCCTTTGACAGCCGCATAAATAACAACAACTTCGTGCGCTGTACGGGTCACTACAGGAGCACCCAAATTCATCCGACTAGAAACATTTCTACTCTAGTTTTTCCCACACCCAATAGCTGGGCCAAGTACTGGTGGGGTAGCGTTGAAAAATAAACCCCATCACTGGAGAGAGATGTCAAGCAGCTCAACGCAAAATAGTTTTACTAGGTTAGAGCAGCCGAATCACAATTCGCATGTCGAGTGTTCGAATCCCTCTACGTCATTCGCCAATCTATCTATGCTTTCTTTTCTTTTCTTTTTCTTTTTTTTTCCTTACAAGAAACAATAGTTTTATTACGGCCCAGTGCCCAAGGCAGATATACAATGTCAAAGAGAGCTGCAGATTCAGGGGTCGCAAGGTCTCCAATCCCACTTTGTCAGGTGGAGCTTCTCCCCTGTAGAAAACCACTGTCTTCCAAAAGAAAATCTACCAAATCCCCGATACCCGTTCCCAAAAAGACCGAAAAACACCCCATTGAAAATCCTAATTAGGGTTTCGATTAATTTCTAAAGCCAATACACTACAAATTTCATTTAAAAAAAAAAAAAAAAAACACCAAAATTCCTAATTAAGGTTTCTAACTTTCTGGTAATTCCTAGGTCCCAATACCCACCCTAACCCTAATGAACCCGAAATTCCTAAATTACATGTAAAACAGTTTTTGTTTGTTGCCTAAAGCGGCAATCGTAGCCCTAGAAAGGCTTTCAATTTCACCTGCGAATCGGCCTCAACAGCAGTGCACTAAGACTTCTACCAAACAAAGACCTCCCCGATTTTCCCCCCCACCTTATATTTTCCTTTCTTTTTTTTCTTTTTTTCTTTCTTTTCTTTTCTTTTTTTTTTTCCTTTTCTTTTTTCTTTTTTTTTTCCACTTTTTTTCTAGGCTACGAGCCGGGCCGCCCGGGTCACCGTGTTTTCCCGGGCGTCCCGGCCGTGCAAGGACGAGGGGAAGGTCCCAAGGGGAAAAAGAAAAGAAAAAAATGAAAAAAATCCGAAAAAAAAATTATGTTATGTAGAAAAATAAACTGAACAACGTTAGCCCCAGGATCACATCGAGATTCCTTACCAAATTTAAACTATATATGTTTTTTAATCATTTTCTTTTGGCTCGGCCGGGCAAGTGGTCCCGGGCCACTCTGGCAGCCTAGCGTTTTTCCCTTTTTTCCTTTTCTTTTTTTTTATTTTATTACAGAACAATTGTAGCATAGACCTGTCCGATCGACATCTCTGTCCCGTTTGCTCCCGTCTACAGACAACCTACAAATGGAAATCTTCGGACGGCGACCAAGTCGTACCTTCGGGGTACGTAGGACTGATCTGCGCAAAAGCAAAACGTCAAAAGAAAGAAAGAAAGAAACGATCAAACGATACAGAAGGGCATGATCGCGCGCGAGAGAGAGAGCTTAACAGCTCGATACCTCTGCCTTGGCAGACAGATCTGCAGAACGACGGTGGTTCGAGGCCGATGCACGACCTACACCTCTGCGCCACTTAGATACCGTCTTGCCCCGAACACAACGCACCCCCGTAATGAGGTTATGAAAAGCTACCTTTCCAGTCCCGTACAACCATGATGAGGGTGAATTATCCTCGGGGGAAGATGGTGGTCATCCGGCCGATCGACCCTGATCCCATCGGCCAACGAGCCCCAAACTTTGTGACAGAGAGTTAGTACATGGCAGATACCCAACGGGGTTTTCACATCCAACAAACGGCGAGCAAGAGCAAGAGACCATTCCCAGACCAACGACGGCCAAAGTGTCGGTGCGTGCGAGTCGTAGTTCGTACCCGAAAGGGGCTGATACAGATGGGGGCGGGGCAAGGGGTCCCAGACGGGGAAGAGGTCGGTAATGGGGAACTTGAAGGGGAGAGGCAAAAGAGAAAGGCGAGGGCGAGAAAGGAGAAGGGAAAGAGATAAAGGGAAATGCGAAAAGAAGGAGAAGCTGAACAAGGAAAAAAGTTAACTTCCAAAATCTGGGACGGACCTGAACACCCGGCTGCTCATGGTGTTCTAAGCGTAGTTCCAGAAATGAATGGAGAAGAGGTGGAACGTGCAGACCACACATATTGATTCGCGCAGCAGCCTCGTCTGAGGAACGGAGAGAGTATCATATCTCTTCTGCCCCTCCGAACCTCCCGCCCCCCCCTCCCCCCTCCTCCAACAAAAAAAAAAAAGAAATCATACCTTTTCTCCTTGTGATTGGCCAACACTTCCGCCAGCAGGCGGGAGAACAAGAGCGCCTTCTTCGATGCTGCTGCTTGCCTCTTTAGCTCCGCCTCGTCTAAGAGATCCCCTTTGGGCAGCGAGACTCTTTTTCGCCCGTGCATCCTTGCCCTCTACCTCTTCTCTACTCTGCTTCTTTCTCCTTTGCTTTTCCGCAACGAGCCAATCACCAGACAGCCTCCCCCCGCACCGCGCTCGGCAACTTGATGCTGCTCTCTACATCACTGCCAAGTGATCCTCCTGTCAACATCGAACTTGCCTCCTCACCGCCGTCTTCTCCACTCCTCCGCCCACGCAGTTGAGGCCCTCACTCCCCGGGTGGTCCCCACGCGTGCTGGTGCGTTCGCAAGAGCCTCTCTGTACAATATAGATCGGACTATAGGCAGCTTCGATCTGCGTAATTTCAACTGACCCAAAGGTCGTCGAACCCACTACTATGGAACATTGGAAACTTGATCTGACTATAGGCAGCCTCTGTGTAAAATATAGATCGGACTATAGGCAGCTTCGACCTGCGTAAATCACACAGCTTGGCAAAAAAAGGGCACAGGAGGAGACAAACGCCACACCAGTAAGTAATCACAAAAGCTTCAGAGCATTCCATATATGTTAAACGATGGTGGCAAAGACCAGAACAGACAAAGCACTTCCAGTTCCAGGATGCGGCACAAGATTGGAAGTGTTGTGTACATCTTGAAGACCAGCGCAGCCAATTCAGCAAGTATAAAATTGGTCAAGCCTCGTTTCCACTCCTTGAGGTGTTACACAGAGAGACACAGAGAGCAATGTGATTAGCATAGCGAAATACAGAGAAAGAGGCGGAGGACGGTGGGGGAGGGAAGAAGGGGCAGAGGAGGAAAGAGAGAGAGAGGAGGGGGGAGGGGCAGGGACAGGGAGGACGGAAGGAGAGAGGGAGGTACGGGAGGAGGGAACGAAAGAGAGGCGAAGGTGAGGGAAGGGGGAAAGAGAGGAGGAGGGAAGGAAAAAAAGGCAGGAAGAGAGGGAGGGAGGGAACGGAAGAGAGGGACGAGGGTGGGCCAGGAGACAGAAGACGGCGGGGGAGGGGGCAGGGGCACGGACGGGGAGAGAGAGAGAGAGAGAGAGAGAGAGAGAGAGAGAGAGAGAGAGAGAGAGAGAGAGAGAAACCCCAACAGGCTGGATCACACAGACCTAGCACCCCCCCCACTCACAGACTGATGGATTACCAGAGAACCAGCTTCTCGTTCCCTTGTGACTGACCTAACAACTGAGAAATGATAACAAAACACCATTTTGATGCCACGAGACTCATACACATCAAGGGTTCTGCAGACGAACTTTACCACACAGTAAAACACTCTGGACTGCACTAGAAACAGGAAGCCACCGAAGTCTAATCTATCAGTTGTTCTTCTTTCTTCTGCATAGAACCACCGTCCAAATAGCAACCCATGCACCACCACTGTCACTGCTACCACTCCTCCCCAGCATCAGAAGTATCTGGATCCCACGATCATCATCATCATCGTCAATCATCATCACCGTCACCCTTGCCATCGCCAATCATCATCACCACCACCCTTGCCATCGCCAATGCCGTCGTCACCACGCTGGATCGTCAAAATGGTCATCATCACAGCACCGCATACTTTGTTTTATTCCTTACCCTGACGATTCCCCTGCTGCTTTCTCCTTCTTCTTCTCCTTCTTTGGCTTTCAATGTGCACACGTTCAGCCAAAATTCACAAGGTACCACCGGCATTGATGTCCCACCATCAGGATCAGTGCGCTACCGATTCCCGTCATCTCTAGATGACCCGTTGCAGCTCCGCTTGCAAGAAAACGGGGGGAAATACCAACGAAGGTTTTTTATTCCTTCATCAATTGGGATAGTTAGTTCACCCGTTATTAGCGGTTTTCAATTGGAGGAACGTCTTTTCTCGTGCGCTGTGTGCAATGACTCGCACAGTTGCAATCTGAGAACTCTTCATTTTTTCAGAAAGGATGTCCTGTTGATCTGTTTGCTGGAGTTCCAGTTCCGAGGCTGGTTGCTGAGGAAAGTATGTATGTGATCAGCCGATGTATGTATGCCGTGTGCTTGCCTGATGAGTTTTGACTCTCTCTCTCTCTCTCTCTCTCTCTCTCTCTCTCTCTCTCTCTCTCTCTCTCTCTCTGTGTGTGTGTGTGTGTGTGTGTGTGTGTGTGTGTGTGTACCGCCAGGAAGCAGGATCTGCAGCAGGAGGTGAATGTGGAGGACGACAAAAACATGAGAAACCGTTCTAGGCTCGTGTAAGTGTGATGCTGGTCTTTCCTGCACTCTCCTGAAGCTGAGGGACATTGGCATCTGAGGCAGAAGGATGAAATGGAGGAGATGGATGATGTGAAGATAGTGTAGGAGAAGCATGACATAGAGAAAAAGACCTGGACAAGGAAGTGAAAGATGAGGAGGTGGGACCATGGCAACAAACACAGAAAGCGAAACGGGTATCAATAAACGAAAGATGAACAAAATCACCATAGCCTACTTCGCCCCCTTTCACCATAGCCTTCTCCTCCCCTTTTTCCCCTCCAACCTCTTCACGTCAGCATCCTCATCTTCCTAACCCCTCTCGTCGTCAACATCATCACTTTTTCATCTCTCCTTTCCCTCCTTTCCCTCCTCTCCTTCCTCTCCCTCCTCTCCCTCCTCTTCGTCCTCCTAGACTTATCGTCGAATCATCATCGCTTCTCCATTACCCTGCCTTTCCCGTGCGCTCCTGGAGGTAGGAAGATATTGGCCTTCACGGCTTCCACATGGAACTGGACATATGCAGACGCAGATGTGGAGGAGGAGGATGCGGAAGAGGGATGACGAAGAGGAGGACAATAGAAGAAACAGGTGGAGGAGAGGAAGACCGTGAAGAAGAGATAGGCAGGAAGGAGTATGGTGAAGCGAAATAGAAAGGCAATAACGAATTAATCAAGAGAAAGAAACATGAAACCACCATTGGCCCCTACGCCTTTTCCCATCCCGTCCTGCCTGCCGTCAGCAACGTCATATTCCTACCACCTCTCCTCCTCCTCAGCTCACTCACTGATAGAAAACCAAAGTAGTTATCCGGTTGTCGTTTCCTCCTCCTCATCCCCACTCTCTCTCTCTCTCTCTCTCTCTCTCTCTCTCTCTCTCTCTCTCTCTCTCTCTCTCTC